CTGAACCGGGCAAATGGAATAAATGCAGAGGCACAAGGCAGAAGACTACATGGAGTTCTATAAGCTACACTGAATCTGCAGACACCAGCATGGGGAAAACTCAAAGGCAGAATCAATGTAAAAGCAAGATGCAGATATATAAGTAATAATCGTTTATTTATATAAATGTCTTAAACATGGAAACAATACTATTTATTGACATTCACACATGTAATAACAATTTAAGAACGTGCATTAAGATTACCTCTGGGAAAAGTGAAGACAAAAAAAGGGTTACTAAGAAGTAAAGAGCAGACTTCAACTGCACCTGATGTTTTCTTTCTAAGAGATCAATACGGCAAAATATTAAGACATGGCTACTGTTGGTGGTAATGTTCATTCAGTTCTCTCTACACTTTTCTCTACATTCAAATATTTCTCTAAAACCCTCTACATTTTTAAAGAATTACCAAGACAAACAAGCTGTGAAAGAATATATGAAATATTAATGGCAAACAAACCCCTCAATATTAAAAGAACTACTACAAATCACTAAAAAATGGCTTACGTGAACAAGCTGTTCTTAGAAACTGCTCCTAACACAAAAATATGCTCAATAAAGTACCGTTTTCATCCAATCTCACCAAGATCAAAGCTGTGAACACATCCTGTATGCCAAAATGGGGAGGGGGGGACGGGACGACAAATGGGACAGGACCATCCCCTTCACAGCACTGTGACGGGATTATAGATTGGCGCAGCTTTTTCAGAGGAATCAGGTCCCACCTACCAAATGCAAAACCTTCTGATCCAGTAACTCCACTGCTAGGAATCTACCCTACAAACATGTTCTGCAGCTTAGTCCATGAACAGGCACTAAGGACCAAGGCAGAACTAGCAGAAGAAGATCAGTCACTGGAAAGAGGTCCTCGTGCATTAACTAGAGAGAGAGTAGAGATGCCACCCATCCTTGAAGGGGGAAAAAAGTGATTTCATTTGTTTACACAAACAACGAAAAAAGCCCTGGCCGATTTGGCTCGGCAGTTAGAGTGTCAGCCTGCAGACCGAAAAGTTGAGGGTTGGATTCACAGCCAAGGGCATGTACCTTGTTGCAGGTTAGATCCCCAGCCTTGGTTGGGGTCATGCAGGAGGCAACCAATCAAAGTAGCTCTCTCACCCTGGCCAGTTTGTCTCAGCGGTTAGAGCGTTGGCCTGCGGTCCGGAGAGACCCGGGTTCGGTTCCCGCTAAGGGCACGTACCTTGGTTGCAGTTTGTCCCCGGCCCTGGTTGGGTCGTGTGGGTGGCAACCACTCGATGTGTCGCTTTCACGTCGATGTTTCTCTCTCTCTCTCTCCCTCTCACTCTATCTGAACAAAATATCGAAAAATGTCCTCGGGTGAGGATAAAAAAAAAACACGAAAACAAAGTAGCTCTCTCACATCGGTGTTTCTATCTCCCTTACTCCCTCCCACTCTATGTAAAAAACACACACATACTTACATAAAAGAACTCTGGTATTTCATTTTTCTGTAAATTAGTTTACTACCTAACAATCAAAAAAAGGAAGCTATTAAACTGATACATTTTAAAGTCAGACACACACGGACTCCTGCCTAGCTCAGGAGCTTTGGGACAGGCACCACCCCCCCCCCAACACCTCGGCTCCCTCTCTGAGTCGGACCACCACAGCACCTCCCTGCCTGGGGGCAGCGCTGACGCAAGAACCATCGGGTGTCACATGAGAAGGAAGGGACTGTGTCTGTCCCTCTTCTCTCACACATTTCCATTCTTCCAGATTCCTTACAGTATCTGAATCAGTAACAAAATTTATGCAGAGTAAACAGGAAGTTGGCTAAACTCAGCTACCAGTCTGCCTGGATTTGCTGGCCCTCCGCTGGCCTGGAGTTTAGACAGCACTTATTCCCACGCAGACTGACCTTGCTGACCCCGAAAAGTGCAGCATCCATCACTGCTCCAGTCGATGAAGCGCTGCCCCACCCTCCAGCCAGTCAGAAGCGCAGGACAGTGAGCACGGACAGGAGCGCAATCTCACAACGTGTCATTTGTTTAAAAGAAAAAAATGTACCTACTTCCTGTTTCCCTTTGCTACCACCCATCTACTCTTCACACCACACCCTTGGCGTTTTCCTTTCAGAAACAGCACTGCACTGAAAGCTGCTTCAGCCTAAGGACAGGATCATCTCGCTGCACGTCCTGAGGCATGATGGGAAGGAGCAGGACCTCCGACAAGACTAATCTAAAAGGTATCGAAAGGTCTCAGTGTCTACAACCATCTTACTTCAGCATTACTTCAATAATAAGAATGTTACTTTTTTTTTTCTTCTTTTTTTTTTTAACCTCACCTGAGGACATTTTTCCATTTTTTGTTCAGATAGAGCGGGAGGGAGAGAGAGTAAAAGAGGGAGAGAAACATCGACGTGAAAGGGACACATCGAGTGGCTGCCACCCGCACGACCTACCAGGGCCGGGGACAAACTGCAACCGAGGTACGTGCCCTTAGCGGGAACCGAACCCGGCTCTCTCTGTACCGCAGGCCGACGCTCCAACCGCTGAGCCAAACCGGCCAGGGCAAGAATGTTACTTTTAAACTGCAAGTCGGGGTCTATTAAAAAGTGATCAAATCAGTACCAATTTGTATTTTCAATGGAATAAAAAAGAACAAAAGACCACATGAGAAAACATTAGTGCACTACAGGCATATAACTTTTAGTTACATCTACAGGTATACAAAAACATTCTGTGGAATTCACTTCTCACTGCGCCCCAATAAACATTTCAAAAGCCTATGCCCTATGCCAGATATTATCAGTGCAGTTTCAAGTGTCACCACATGATGGCGGTAAAATCCCGCACAACTCGGAAAACTAGGGAAATGCAGCAGTTCTGAAAGTATCCCCACCCTCCATCCAGGTCGTCATATCATCCCCTCAAACACATAAATGAACGACTTCATTAAGTTGAAATAGAGAACCCAACAGTAATTAATATTTGTTCCACTTATTCAGCATGTGATTTAAAAGGGCTCCAGTAGAAAACAACAGGTTAATTATAAATGAGAATCCATAAATAGTGATTTTGAGATGGAAGGATACAACAGAAGTTATAAGAAGTCATATAAAATAAACTTTTAAGGTCGATACTAGAAGATGTGGGGGTGTGTGTGTGTTTATCAAAACTACACTAGGTAAACATAAATTGATACCACCTTCTGGAGGCAACTTATAACCAGTAATCAAGAATGCAGAGCAGGCACCCCGGTTCCCAAACCCCTGCGTCACCGGTGAGGGCCTGTACCCAGGCCAGGAGCCAGGCCCTGGAACACAGGAAGCCGTGCACCAAAGCCCACCTTTGCCAGCCTCGGATTAGCATTTGAGTGAGAATTATTCTCCGACTTTTCACATTTCAAAGCCCACTTTCCAAGTGCTGCGCATTTTAATTGATCTGCTTAAAAGTAAAAACACTGCTTATACTATTTTAGAGGAAATGAACAAAAGAGAAAAGGGAATAAGGGGAGCAGGAAACCCAGGTGTGCCCAAGCTCTGAAGTGAGCCTGGAGAAAATGAACCCAAAAGGAGAGATGAGAGCAGCCGAGAAGGAACATTAAATGGCAAATTCCAGAAACCAGCCCCAGGAGAAAAAGGGATAAACAGAGCACCTGTACTCAGAAGGGATCTCAGTGGCTGAATCAGTGGAGGTCTCCACCCCCTAACAAGCTTGAATCCCATTCTGGCCGGTTTGGCTTGGTGGTCGGCCTTCGGACCAGAGAGTCTCGGGTTTGGTTCCCGCTAAGGGCACGTATCTCGGTTGCAGTTTGTACCTGGCCCCAGTTGGGGTCATGTGGGTGGCAACCAGTCAATGTGTCTCTCTCACATGGATGTTTCTCTCTCTCTCTTCCTCCCTCTCTATTTGAAGATAAATGCAAAAATGCCTCAGGTAAGGATAAATTTAAAAAAAATTTTTTTAATAATAAAAAAACAAGTTTGAATCCCACTGTACAGAATATGAAATGGGACGTCCGATCATGTCAGACTGCCAACAATGAGTCCTAGGGCAAGAGAGGGAAAAGGAAGCACATCCTGAATTCTAATCTCGGCTCACACGACTTACATGACAGCGGGCAAGGCACCCAGCCTTCCAGAAACTCAATCTGTATAAAAAGGTCAGTTTACATGATCGCCAAGATCCATCTTCAAACATTAAGATCCTACTGTCTAGGAATTCTGTCCCTCCAATGCAGCTTTTTCAATTTATTATGATCTAACAAGACCTCATAAAGGAACAACTTTTCAAGTTATAAAACTGTTCCCGTAAGAGCTGTTTTTAAACCTGCTGTTATGAAGCTGCCTGTACCCGGCAGAGCTTTCCTGACAGGCAGCAGATGACCGAGACCCTCTCCCGATTTCTCTGCATCGGGGAGAAAAGTGGAAGACAGCTCTAAGCCAAGCAGACTGATTCTGACCAACTCCAAGGTCCCTCAAACATCATTTCTGTTTGGTATTTTGGTAAAATGAACAATTCTTAGATTAGTGAGTCCTGATATGTAACACTGTCCTCAACCTCCTGAAATTTTAGTAATAATGTGCTATATTCAAACTCTCATTGATTATATATAAAAAAGAAGTCTTCAAATTATATGGAAAGACGTCAAAAACCTCCATTCTTAAAAAACGTATTATCTATAGCAAAGTAAGCAAGGCAATTTATCAGAAAAATAATACAGAAAAGGGCAGGATGCAAAAGTAATGTTCAATGTATCTAACTGGCTGGAAACAGTGGGTGAAACTTTGATTACTACAAAAGACAACCTTGAAGTAAATGGTTTCATATGTTGATAGTATATTGAAAATTGACTTTTTAAATAATAAAAACCAACAGCTTAAATATAAACTAAAAGCATTTCTCCGCCAAAATATTAAGCCTTTACATTTTAACTGCACTTGTGTAGAATGTAAACAAGAGGCAGACAGAAAGACAAAGGAAAGAGAGAGATGTGAGAGTACCTTTGTTGAGGATGGTGGAGTGGGGAAATTAAGCCAGGCTGGAGCAAAGTCATGCTGCGCCATTTAGGTCCAGTCTCTCCGACGCAGTGAAACAAGGCTTCAACACCTCATGGCAAGTCCCTGTCACATAAAAATGGAAGGAATTAGACCTGCAGCTCCTAGCCAAAAGTATCTTCTTATTCGGTGTTCCTTTAAATTACAACGATCTTACTACTTTAAGATTCCACTTATAATAAACTCTAGAACAGGCAAGTTCTAGATGGAAACTAGACCAGCAGGGTGGGTGAAGGGCTTGAGGGGAGGGAATGACTGCAAAGGGAAGGAGGGAATTTCCAAGGTCATGGGGTATTATCTAGGATTGTGGCGATGGTTATATAAATGTACACATTGGTCAGAACTCATCAAGTTGTATACTTAAAACTAGCTAATTTTACTGCAAGAAGTTTGTCTTAATAAAGCTTACTTTTTAAAATGACAATGGCCTGATCACAAATAGACCAGACATCCCATGTCTTCTGACGTCACAATGAGGACACACAGAGGACCATCTACGATTTATTTTTGCCCCACCCCAATATGGAATGTGAAATCTGATCTAACTACCAATCCTCAGGAAATTCAACCTAGAGAAACTCAGTTAAAGGACATCTGAGGAAAGTAACCCAAACAATCCAGATCACAGGATGTTCTTACAGGTCAAATGGTCCAGTTTCTTCAACAAATAAATGATTTTGAATAGGCAGATCAATCAAATACAATGTGTGGGCCTCATATACAGATCCTTACTCAAACCAAGCAACCCTTAAAAAATGAAAATTATAAAATAATTAGAACTTGAGCATGAACTGAATATTAAATGACATTTTTAAAAGTATTAATCATTTTAGATGCCATAATGGTTCAGTGCAAGGATGGTATTTAAAAAAGACACACTGAAGGCTTCGCAATGAGAATGGATACACCTGAGTGACACGAGGCTGCCTGGGCTCTGGCTGCCTGGTGGCAGGTTACAAATGCTGATGCGAGGGCTGCACAGATGCTCTTCTCTACTTACAGGAACAGCTAAGAATTTCCATAATTAAGTTTTATTACAATCATCACGATAGATTTCTTAAATGTTTTAGCAACTATTTCTCTTCTGCATTCTAAATTTACATTTTTAGGGCAGCCTCTCAATCACATGAATGAAACCTTCAAGCTGCCAGCTGAATCTGAACATTGTCAATTCAGTTTCTGTAAACAAGGCCGAAGCCAACTGTACTCATTTCAATAAAGAAATCAAATTTTCTTAACATCTAAATGTCTAAGTTTAATAATAACAAATGTTTTATATTTGCAAATAATCTCAACAGTGAAAAATTTAAAAAACAAAGTGATCAATACCACTGTTAATCTTCCTTTTTCAAACATCTTCTTTCCAATATAAGTGCCATGCCCATAATTTTTTAAGCCATATCAATTTCCTACAATACTTTATAAAAGATTCTCAAGGTATTACAGAAATAATCTGCATATACTATCCCAAACTGTGTTTGTCTATTAAAAGATAGGTTAAGAGTGTCCAGATACAAAAAAAAACAGATATAACTGGTTAACTCACTATAGTAATGAAAATGTTTAAATGCTAAATGCTCATGAAAGCCGGAAACATGGATACAATTTGAAAAACCTGACACAATGCCAACAAAACACTTATGAAACAAATGTAAGATTTTTAAGAGCATATCTAACCAAAATGAATTCTCTATAAATTCAAGCATTCTAATTCTACCACCATCTTATGTTACTTTTTGAGGTCTTCTGAAATAAAAATGAAATCTCAAGTGTTTTAGGGTGTATGAAGAAATTTTATTACTATTTTGGCATGAAGCTAAATACTAAACTGCTTTGTGATGTTTGCGATGCGATACTACTTTTTCTTGAAACTCTTAAGATTATAGTTCTAACAACTCAATAAGAATAAAAAATTACTTTTGTAACTTTTACCAAATGAAAATTCACAGGGAACTCCAGAGAACTTAACCCATAATTTAAAGCTTATCATTTCAAACAGGGTCTCATCCAAAATGATGGTTAAGTGAGAAGTTATATCCTGAAAAACATCCCTAAGAGACATTAACATTACCTATTCATCTCTGCAATGTCTTTATGAATTTTGATTTATATCTAGTTCTCAAAGGATAAAGGATGAGAGCTAATGGCAGTCGTCTCCACGTCCCGAAAGGGTGAAGGGCAAACACCAGCACCGCGGCATCTGCACAGCAAGTGCTGGCTGGGCCAGGCGGTGCCACCCAAACGTGCCATCTGACATAGAGCAGTTTTGAGCTGAAGGCACTGAGCTCCCCAAACCCCACATCTGCCTAATGGCAGGGCCTCCCAAAACTATTTATCAATCGCCTACCTTGAAGCAACTCCAACCTTCGCTCTTGGAGACCAAAAAAAAAAAATTTTGAGTCAGCAGATCACCCAGACATTGCCACAATCTATCATTTCTCCCGTCCATTCTCCTAAGGGCCCATTTATCTGTCTCTCCAAAAAAGTGATTTGCTTTCCCATTAAGTTCCCTTTTCCCTTTCCCCTATAAATTCTGTCTCTTTGATTTGCTCATCTCTGAATACTCCCAAATGTGAGCGCTTGCTAATAGTAAACTTCTGTTTTCTCTTGTAACCTGTCTGTCTTCAGTCTAACAGACAGGTCCCCAGCCACAGCCCGCAGGAGGGCAGAAGGGAAAAGAAATCTCACTGCCCTACACGTGTCCAGTCGTCCCTCGCCACTTCGCACTTGGACTTCCGCGGCTTCACTTACTGCAAAAGTCGAAGGGCAAAGTGGCAGGGACAACTGTATAAATAAAGAAACCACTTCACGGAAGTTCATGTATCGTGGTGGAGTCTGGAACTGACCGACCGCAATAAACAAGGGCCAGCTGCAAATGCAAATTTGTTTCAAACACCCATTTGTTTCTTTTCACGCTGCTCCTGCCCTCGGATTTCATTCCATCCTCTTTCCCTGTCTGAACTGTGTCCCTACCCCCTCCAAATTCATACACTGACATCATAACCCTTTCTGTCAGAATGTAATCCTATTTGGAGATAAGTCTCTGAAGAGATGATTAACTTAAAGGACGCTGTTAGGGATGGTCCTGTCCCAATCCTCTGTGCCCTTCTACGAGGAAGAAATCTGGACACACCGACAGACATCAGAGTTGCACAGCACAGGGAAAAGACAGTATGAAGAGGCAGCAAGAGGGTGGCCATCTGCAAGCCAAGGCCTCTAAGGAAAGCAGCCTGCCTGCACCTTGAACTTGAACTTCTTTCCAGGGTTCAAACCAAAAAGTAAGTCTGTCCGCAACACCCAGTTTGTGATATGCTTTCTGTTGCAGCAGCACCCATAATCGAATACAAATAGCAATATTAGAAAGACGCTAATTGAAAATACCATGCATTTCCTTCACACCTATACCACCTGTATTTCCTTCACACCTAGAGTCACCTTTGGTGACTGCTCCCCAAAGAGGAAGGCGGCAGAGCGCCAGCCGTGTCAGGGTCTCCTGCCAGATTCTGCCAGGTCTAAAGGCCTGAGTGGACATACAGAGTTAACACTCAAATGATGCCAGTATGAAATCACACCAGTTTCTCATCTCTCACCCAATTTACAACTTGTTAATAAATCTGTGTCTGAAGTCTGAACTGAACCATCTACAGTAAAAGTCCCCCAGGGAAATGGGTTCTTTAAAAACTTTAATCTAAATTCTGCGCACTTTTTTTTTTTTTTTAATCCTCACCCGAGGACATTTTTCCATTTTTTGTTCAGGTAGAGTGGGAGGGAGAGAGAGAAACAGAGAGAGAGAGAGAAACATCGATGTGAAAGGAACACATCGAGTGGCTGCCACCCGCACGACCGACCAGGGCCGGGGACAAACTGCAGCCGAGGTATGCGCCCCTAGCGGGAACCGAACCCGGGTCTCTCAGGACCGCAGGCCAACGCTCTAACCGCTGAGCCAAACCGGCCAGGGCAATTCTGCGCACTTTTAAGTGTTCATGCCTAGCTTCAAAAAAATCAGATCACTGATTAATTAGAAGTCCAAAATATAGTTCTTTAAATTAAAAAAACAATATACTTTAGCCGAAAGTACACAAATAGATGAGATTTTTCCTTATTTCTTACAATATTTTACTTCTGAACCCACCAAAATTTGCCAAATCTTTACAATGGAAAACTAACTAAGATGATTTCATCACAATGAGCATCAAACTCGCTATCACTGTTAATGGTTCTTTTCAGATAAATTTAAGCTTTAAAAACCAAAAAGCCCTTCAAAAACACCTGGATTCAACCAATAGCTAAGGCATTCTAACTAGAGGCAGAGTATAGTTCTTTTGTTTTTGTTTTTAAATATGTTTTCATTGATTTTTTAGGGAGGGAGGGAGGGAGAGAAAAGGAGGGGGGGAGAGAGAGAGAGAGAGAAAGAGAAAGCACCAATCAGCTACCTCCTGCACGCCCCCTACTGGGAATCAGGCCCACAACCAGGGCATGTGCCCTGACCAGGAATCAAAAGGGGACCTCAGTCCATGGAATGATGCTCAAGCCACACAGACCAGGCTACAGTTTTCTTTTTAAAAGAGCATAGCTTCAAAATCCAACAGTCCTCAATTCAACTCAGCTCTACAAATCCTTAAGCTGGATGACCTTAGCAAGTTTCCATCATAGTCTGTTTCTTCTCTTCAATAGAACTGAGATGACAGCTACCTGCCTTGTGAGACTCAACCTGAAAATTGTTAAAGCTATAAAAAGATAACTATCCTTCACTACCAGCCTATCTATATTCAAATCCTTGAATAAGGATAAGTTTTTCAAACATTTAGTCAAAGTGCTAACATTCCTTCATAAAGAAGGCAAGAACCAGACTATTCAAATTCATCCTCACTGCTCTTTATAGTAAACCTGTGGAATACTCCTTTAATAAAAGCTTAGTTTAATATATTAACAGATTTCATTTTAAAAAATGAATCTTCCTCATCCCAAATCAGACCTAAGCCATTATATGGAGCAGGGCAAAGAAGCCAAGGGGCCCAAACCTGCTGCTAGAGCCAGAGGGCATCAACACATGGGAGTGGCCCAGCACAGGACGTCAGCGTCACAGCAGGTGGGACAGGGAATCCGTGCAGAGGGACAGCAAGGAATCAGGCCCTGGACCCAAACGAATGAGGAAGGCATCCATGTGGGGAGAGAGCAGCAGCTACAGCAGGGAATCAAGTAACTAAGCAGGGAGAGGGAGATGCCCGCGTGGGGCAGGTGGCAGTGGCTATCACAGAAGATTGATGATATATAGAGGAAATGACCAGATTAACATTTTTAAAATGGAAGGAGCTCCACACTGTCAAAGGCAGTAACTACTAGCTGGAAGGGTGAATGCTGCAGCATCGTGTTGTCAGTGTGACTCATTCACTCATATATTAATAATAAGATACTGTTTATATACAACATAAAGGTAAGTATTTCTGTTTATGTACACGTATTCCCCCACCCCCGTTTTGTGCAATAGCAGTAAGCATATTTAACATCTGGGTCTTGGTTTCTAAAAACCATTTTTCACTAAAAGAAGCTGGGGCTTTTTAGAGACTAGCTGATTTGAAGACTGGAAAAAGATGACAAAATAAGCCTGAGCTATTTGGTTGTAGCAAAAGCAAGGGAGTGTTCAAACAGTGACTGGGAATACCTAAAGGACAGAGAAACCAGTTTCAGGAGGTTCCCACTGGCCCAAAGCAGTGACAACTGGAACATCAAAGATGAGAAAAGACCTG